TATTAGTTAAGGGACTTCCGAACAAGTTGCGCAAAGAATTATTGGTGTTAAGCTAGCAGAAGATTTCTGGATTGAATTTTTAGATGGTACACTTGAAATTGAAAGCTCGACGACGATCGATTTTCGAGCCAGTTGATGCTTTTGGTGGGTATTTTAAGGGTGTCGGCATAGACGCGATTCAGCAGAGAGGACGGGGTGCACAAAACACAAGCAAAGCACGAGTTTGGCTCGTTTGGCTGGTCGCCGGCAACGTTTCGCGCGATAACACCGAGATTATCGTTCAAACGGCGAGAAACTCGTTTCCCGCTCGTTTCACGGTTACAGAGCAACGAAGAAAGTTGGCGAACGTTAAACGTTAACGGGAAGCTTCACGGATGAGCCTGGCTTTACGTGAAAGTAACTGTCCAGTAATTCGGCAACCCTCTCACGCGGTCAGGTAAACTGAAACGATGTCGCGTTCATCGCACGCTCGATTTATTAACCAATTAACAGAAGAAATAATCTTTTTAAAGCGTCCAACGAAATTTACTTTAATCACCTTTAGACGCTTTCAGTGTCAGATTAAATGGCACACTTGCAAGGGTGCTTTGAAAAGCAATCGATTGAATGAATTATGAGGGAGGTGAAATCGGAGTTTGTTTAATTGTATTAATTATGCAGCAAACGTTACCGCGCGCTACTCGTACGCTTTGATGCTCGAGAGACCACGGTTGTTGAATCCTAGATTATCCGAAATTCGAGCAGTCTACACACCCCCGGTTTGTAAGTTTAACCAAAGTCGAGCTCTGTTTATTCACCTAAGATCGTCTAACCTAACGTCGTGTTCAGCAGAATTCGAAGTCGCTAAGGAAGGAAGTTTGACCAACCAAGCGAATTATTAGCCTCGATTCCCGATCCCGAAATTGACGTCGCTTCAAACCGACCCTAAAATTTCCGTTTCGCCTACCATTTTCGCCGCACGTTCTTAATTGAAAAATGCCGCGATTACGTTTGGCATCGAAATGAAAATACTCGTAAAATTCCTACGGGGTTAATATAAATTTACCTTAACGCGTCCATCGTGGTTCCACGCTCGTTACCCCTTCAGATTATACGCTTCCGTCGTGAGAGCTGTTTCTCGAAGAAGCACCGGATACAGCTGCTATTCTCGAGACTTTAAGAGCAGCAACGAAGAAGTTGAGCACACCAGGAGATTTGCCAACAGCCAAAGTAGCTTCACGAATAAGAACTCGACCTTTTTGTCGATGCTTCACCGACAAGCATTTTCCATCGGTTGGCTCCGTGTTTCCGTGGCCCGTTTTCAACCCGCGACCCTATTAATTGCTCGAAAGAAAAGCTACGTGCCACTTGCTCTTTCTGATCTCTATTCCGCTTGATCCCTCGACACGACGGAATATACCCTCGTTCCTGCTGCGGCCATTGTTGCTCGAAAAACGAAATTGTCGTGACACGATTAATCTACCAATTACAATGGAACAACTAGCCAATTTCGCCTGGAGAAAAGGTATCTGTAAGATGTCAGTATTTGTAACCAGTGCAAGCAGGAATTTACGTTTACAAGACTCTCTGCTCAAATGACTTATTTTCATTTATAACTTCATTTAAAAGAGAAATTGCGTGAAAATTTATAACAGGCAGTATAATAAAGGGAGGAAGGAAGACGGAGGTAACGAAGAAATGCAGCGGAAAAAAATGGACGAATTTAGCAGATAGAACACGATCTCCCCCCGTTGCAGAAGGGAATAGCAGACAAAACGGACAAAAAGAACCGTATGAATAGGAATGGGAGAAGCGGTGGGTGAAAAGCAATGCGTTTGCAAGCACACGCCTCTGCGCAAGAGTCGAGTGTCGTCAATTGGGACCCACGTGCATGGTTATTTTCACTGAAACACGGTTTTCCAAGTTGCCACGGGGATTTTTCAATGGTACCTATGCCAGATGTTTCGCTTTCATATGGCTTTTCAAAAAGATATTCTCGAAAGTGAATGGAAATCCTGTAAAACTTTCATTTATTCGAATTAACAGAGAGACATAAATAATTCAAAGAAAAACAACCCTCTCTCTATCATTTCTCTATAGGAAATTGATTATGGGATCGGAATTCTGAAATGTAACGTTGCATCGAATATTTCTCTTCTCTTAAAGAAGGAAAGAAACAAACGTTTAACGCTGTTTGTGAAAAGTCCGCGGGTGGTCGCTAAGGAGAAAGGAATAGACGTTTGCGACGACGACGAGGAGGACACGCGAGCTTATATGCAAAGGTAAACCGCGAGAGGGTTGAGGCTGAATGAAAGAGTAATGCAGCCTTGCTACTCTCGAGTGAAGAAGCGTAGAGGAGAGAGGAGAGTGAGCGCATAAGTTATAGTTGGCATTGTGCAAGACCCTCGGGCAAAGTCGCGCGAATCCGAAGAGGGTGCAAGCTGGCAGGGTGTGTAGACTCCTCGAGCGGGTAAGCAGCTTTCCCCACTGGCGAGCCACGGCCGCCTCAGTTAATCTACCCTGTACATTCTACACCCTCGCGCCGCGCCACGCCGCGTTAAGCTTAGCTTTTTACCGCTCTCTTTTATTTTTTTTTTTTTTTCTTTTTCTCTCCTTCACAATCCGGACGCTCTTCAGAAGAACAGCATTTGCTCTCTTTCTATCTTTCTCCGGAGTCGCTGGGAAACCGCTATGCCTTAATTGAAAATCCTCCTTTATGTCGATGGGCTCGATAACCAAGACGGAGTCTCGCTCCTCGTTCTTTCTGCTTCTTGAATTTTCGCCCGAACGATACGAGTGTCTCGTCAATTAACTCCTTCTTTTTCCATCAGACTGACCCAGATCTTCTTTTTCCATGCAACTTTCAAAGCGCGAAAGTTTAAACCGTCTGAAACGCGCCGTCAGTTTGTATAATACTAAGAATTCATTGCGATAACACTTTTCGTTGATAGAACAATGAATGCAGAATATGTCATTAAGAGGAACGTTGTGACGTGTCAAATAAATATAGAAACGTTACTATTGCATGCTTTTTCGTCTGCTTGTGACACTTTACATTAATTTAACGCATTACCATAGCAATTCGTTTGATGTTGAAAACCATGTTTTAAGAGTAACATATAAATTTCTGGGAAAATAAAATTTCTCCTCTGGACCGTTAATCTTTCCATTAATCTTGCTTTATTTGGCATTGCGTAGCTTCGAATTTAATAGGTATTTGAAAATACTCTGAAAACGTTAAAGCATTTTCTGCGAATTCAACGAATTTCGAAAGCTGCTTTGAAGAGACACCGGCTGGAAAATGTTTTTAATTAATCCTCCGACCAAACACGCGGCCCTTCCTTTTTGTAATCATTCGCAGCAATAATATGCGAAATTATGATTATATTTTGCCGACATAAAAGACGCTTTTCCCAGCAAAGAACTTTGTTGCAACATATTTCATCTTGGTACGCGCAACCACGGCTGCGTTAATTATGAATACTTTCGAGGTAAACGCATAAAAATTTCAACGCAGTGGCGAGAAAAGTACGCCACCGTTTTCTCAGTTATTCCTCGCAATACACTTGCCAGTGAATTTTCCAAAAAAAGCGTGTTAACTTCTGTCCGTCTTAACGATTCGCCTTGGATCGCTTATTAAAATTTCCGGATAAGTTTTGAATTTAATTATCCGTGACTTGTTCCGAAATTAGCATAGAAACCATATCTATATTTAAGAGCATAAGGATAATATCTTCCATCAGCATACTTGGTCGCTGCTTTCAACCGTTTTATCAAAAGCTAAATTAAATTCTTCTCCGCGAAGAAGTATTAACCTCGCGCCTCCGTCGTTGTAGCTGCAAGAGCTTCTTTGCTTACGGCATTGTACGATCCGAGATTTCAAATCCAATATCTTTCAGAGGATAGCCGAGAACCGTGACGGTGGATTTAATTGATAGATTGCGTTGCGCGGTTAGCAGAGTCCGGTAGCCACTTTCGAAGGAACGCGGCAAAGGAGCTCGGGTATTCAGGAAAGAATAAAAAGGCTGGGAAAAATTTTCCACCGAGCCAGTCGAGGGCTTGCTTTGAGGCAAATATCACGAATGGAAAGACACTTTTAACCGTAAAGATGTCGAGTTATGATAATTTTTACCCTCGACCCTCCGTCCGCTGGCTGAAAGTCACCGGGTCGAAGATAAGGCCGCGGCGAAGAGGAAAATCGTTTTTCATCGAATCAACGGAGGCACGCGTTTTTCCGACACGGAAAGTCGTGCCAGGGGAAATTGAATAAGCGACGCGATCATCCAGGAAACTTGCGGGAAGCTCGGCTTCGGGGGAGGAAACGTAGACAAGTAAATGGCAGCGTTGAAGTTTTCCTTCAGCGATGACAAAACTGTTGCCATTAAAAATTAATTATTGTATAATACAGTCGGTCGACCGATGTTCCAACAGCTGACTGAAAAAAGGTATTTCTCACGTCATCAAACTGCCATTCCAGTGACTACCTCTGTTTCCTCCTTCATTTTCTCTCTGTTTCTTTCATTCCTTTCCACTTCTATTTCCGTTTCCGTCTCTCAGCCAACCAGCCAGCTCGTGAAACTTCGTTTCGTTAAAACAGACGTTCCTCAATTATTATTACGAAGGCCCAGTTCCAGCCACCACGTCCAATTATATCTCATGAAACTAATCTGTAAGTTTCTTTGTTAAATTTCGCGCTCGCAACTAGGTAACAGGATTTTAAAAGCATAACTCACCTCGCCTCCTGCTGTGCAGTCACGCGAGCTAACTTTCTGATGGAACACGGACGACACGAAACGGGCACGGGATGTTATTGCTCCTTCGTTAACTTGATGGGAATATTAAGAACTGCTATCTTTTACAATTAATACGTATCATTACACTGCTATATTGCAGGTAATAAAAGCGACGCTCGTCCAAGGATTGCAGAGAACCTTTCTGAAATTTTAGACGCATTTGCTCTATGCAACGTAGGGGTTGCTTTTTTAAAAATTGCATACTAAATCAGAAAAAAATACCTCCCGTTATTTCTACGAACATTACCACCGTTTTATTTTACATATATATACATTTCTACGTACTTTTATCTTAATCACTCTCAACCATATTATTTTATTCTCCCAGCAAGAATTTTCATGCGGTTTCTTTTAATCTTTCTAGCTTAGAGTTTTTCCGATAACGAGCATCTGGGAGTTTGAACTTTTTCTCGGTTTACATAATGTTCGTGAAACACGATTATTTGATCGTGTTGCAAACGTTATAACGCTGGTTATAATACTTGTTAATACAATCTCATTAGCCGAGTAAATTTAACATGCTGCTTAATACCTTTTAAAGAATATCTAAAGAATTTACTTTCACAGTCCGAACGGTGCGCGCATCGTTATAAATTCATGCCGAATTTCATGTTTTTCGATTCAGAAGAGAAAGGCTGAAAGGTCAAAGTAAAAAAGAAAGATGCAAGAGATATCGCGTTCTTTGGTTCTTCTGGAGGCAAGCTGATGTTCCTCGGCGAACTTTCGCCAGAATATCATTCTGTCTCTGGTATGCAGACGCCTTGCACAATTCTCACGAATATTTGCCATGCACTCCACTCAACTGCTGCCATATTTATACATTCGGTATTTTGAATACCAACGCATCCGTGAAATGTATATCCATATCGACCTTTCGTCATCGATCGTCGTGCCCAATGTCTTGCTTTTAGAATTCATCAACCTTTACGGACGAATATTTCTACCTTTCGTAGCGGATTGTTAAACAGAGGCCGATGACATTTCGTTGCCAGTCGAAAGTCAGAGAAAAAGGAACCGAAGGAAGGTAAACAACGCGTTACAGGATCGTGGGACTAATAACACCGGACGTGGATAGACTCGAGATTAAAATCTGATCCGCGTTACTGAACGTTACGAGAACGCTTTCTCGGCGAAGGTGTCTCGAAACGCTTTCCAATTTTACGTAAATGGTCTCGCGTGCCATTCGACTCGGACACGTTTAAAACGTCAACGACTCTTCACCTTCTACGAACACCTGTTTTCCGGCTTAATGAAAATTGTGCAGTTCAAAAGGTACTGTAAACATGTTTGAAAATTATATGCGAGCTGGTCGGGCGAACGCGAAACGGAACCAATTAAAACGGCACGACCGAATTGATGGGTAAAAAGGTGAAGGGAGACGAGGGAGAAGGAAAGTTGATGAAACGTTGCTGCAGCTCTCTCCCTCTGTGCAAACTTTTCCTCCAATTATTCGGCCAGCAGTTTAAGCAATACCGTTGACCGTTCTCGTCGAGGGCAGCATTCAAATTAACTCGTTAGATCCTGCTGTTATTATACGGTTACATTGGGAAGCGAGCTAGGAAAAAGGGCGAGTGAATTTCCGTTCGTAAATGATGTCTTCTTTTTTACGGGAAACGGGAAGGAACATTCAGGGGGGTGGGAAATTGCTTCGATATTTTAACGAGTAGAATCTACCGTGTGGATATTTCTCTTCGATTTTAGGTTTCAAAGCTCGTTAGGTAGTTCTGTTTTTACAAGGCAGAACGTACCGTATGGAAGTTTCTGTTTAATTTGCGACTTTAAAACTCATTACGTGCCTGTGTTTTTGTTAGAAAATTTATAAAATTACGGACGTATCGAATCTTATGCCCACCGTGCAATAAAATCGTATTACTTTCTTGTTACTATATACAGTAGAAAGATCCCTTTGATTAGAACAGTTAACAGATTAAAATTGTTCGATTTCGCGTCGCGTGACCGTTTCGGACGTTCGATATTTATTAAAGAAAAACATGGAGAGAAAAGCGACGGCGATAGAAAGGAAGAAAAGTAGCCGAAAGATTTTCACGATTCCGATATTGCTATCGTCCACGCAATACTTCCTCGCTGCTGCGGTCGCGCACAGAACGTAACTCTCGACGTCGATTTCCGCGGCAACCGGAAATGCATCTTGCTCCTCCGAGCTGAGACGTTGGTGAAGCAGGTACAAGCGATTCCTCTCTGCTGACCACGACCTCGATGAAATTGACTCGAGGGATCGAAGCGCATTACGAACTCTTCGTTGCTCCTCGAGAAGCCTGTGAAGAAGCAAAGGTTTTACCTGATCGAATGATCTTTTTCTCCCATCGTGCCACCCTTCGCCTCCCATAATACTCTCTCTATCTCCTCGTTTTCGCATTTGTTTCGTTCGAAACAAATCCTTCCTTTAGTTTTCAGAATTTCTCAAAAAAGAAAAATCCAGGTGATCTAAAATTGGCGAGCTTACAAAGGGTATCAAATATACATCACTAACGGCAACGTAATTTCCGGCAGGAGATGTGTACCTACACGCGCATAGATGAACCAAACGCAGCTACTCGATATCACTTTTCCACCGTCGGTCGTAATTGCAAAAGTTGTTTGACGACGTTTGACTTTACGAAGTAATAAAGGCAAGTTCCATACCCGTAACCTCCGGGCAATAACTTCGACTGATTTACAATATTCGAATCCGCGAGGAAATGTTTGCTTAAAGACGTTAACGTATTATCACGATGGTTCTACCGAGAATATTATCGTTAATAATAGATTTAAGAGACGAACTCGATTAAACTTCGACCGAGTGACACGAAGAGTTTAGTAAATTATGAATTAAAATAGTCGATAGACCAGGAATTTACTATGGAATTTTCGATGGAAATGTAAGGTCACATACAGATTCGTAGTTTTAATAGCTTCCCGAGGGTTGCGGCAAGAATCACGCGAAAGAAAAGTTGAAATCGCGTATACCGTCTCTTCGCCGACGAAAAAACGTATTGCAATGAGAGCTGTCAAGATTTTCGGCCAAGTTTTCCGTCGCTGAATCTGACTTGCGATTTTTAAAAGCAATCAGCGAGCTTGCAGCTCAACTTTCCCACCGAGGAAAACGAGTTTTTCTTCTCGCCTCCTTTCTGTCCCCGAGAATGCCACGGTAAACCTGTTTACTTCGGTATTCCTCTAAATCGTAGTTCAGGATAACTTTTACTTTTACCAACTCGTCGCTTTTCCCGAATCTACCGCTGCCCGTTTCTGCCACCGTCTTCCTCGAACGCTCCGATCAAACTTTCCGTAGGTCACGAATTTCCTTTTCCTATAACTCTGCTCGCTCGATCGTTAATCGTAAAAATTAACGCGTCTGCGTTGAATGGAATGAAATTAGTAACATTCGACGGGTATCAGAGGTAGTTAACGAGTCGAAGAGCATCCCCGGGTGAAATTGGCTCAAAGTTACGAATCGGTGAATGCTGGAATATAACGAGTCCGCGTTAGAGAAGTTTCTCTTTGTAACTCTCTATCGGTGATGTCAATTTCACGTAATAACCGAACATCCTAGCAACCCTATCCACGTGAATTTCAAACGACTTCCGAGGCCTCTCTTTCGGAAATTCGCCCAAGTTACTTCGAGTCCGAACTTTCGATCCATTGAAAGATGCGACCTTGGTGGGAGAATCACGGTTATTCAGGAAAATTTTCAGTTCGTTATACCTCTTCTTTGCTCCGAGCTGGCTGAGAATCGTGTCGCAGAATGCGGATGGCAGCCATTCAAACAGCAACACCAGAATCCAGTGAAGCCCCGCTATAGACGTCATTCCGCGAAGTCCAAAAGTCGGATATGTAAACTTTCGGTTGCCTCGTCGACCTTTCTTAATCAACTCGGCCCAAGTGCAGTCGACGGGTATCGCGTTGTACACCACCGTCTCTTGAACGTTCTTTCTGCGAGAATCAAGAAAATTATATTAACCTTTCCTTCGAAATTTTCTACGATTTCTACGATTTGAATTGAAACGAAGCTTTCCGTTCTCCTTTGTTCACGAAAATGTAACAACACGTAGAATCTCCTCGTTTCGTTCGCGTGTGCGATTCTTTGCGAAACGATAACCGAGGCTATACGAGTCTGGTAAACCGCCTTAATGCGACTTTCCCCTAGTAGCTACTGCTCGATGCCCGAAATGCTGGCCGTTTAACCCGTTACCTTTTGCTCGCCCGCTCAAAAGAGATTTGAATGCTCTCGCGAAACCGTGCTCATTTGGCGTAAACTTTAATTGCAACGCTTTACGGCTTTAACAGCGGCAAAGGTAACGACCTATGGGTGTACAGTCGCGTGATTTACGAACAAGGTATCGCGTGCGATTCGATTCAACGTTTCACCCGTTGGTTTTGTTCGTTTATTAAAGATTATTTATTATTCCGTTTCTCGATCTTGTTCCGATAAATTTCACAAGCAAAAACAATTTCTCTTTTAATCAATTCAATTTTCTGTTATAATTTGCTTATATAAGAACAAGTCACGCGTGTACCTACCTTCGGGTCAATTAACTTTCACCGCTTCCGCGTTGAGCAAGCATAACAACGCGAAGAATTATCCCCTAATTAGCAATCTATGGGTGAAAATAGCTTGCGGAAACATCAGTTTCGCCAGGCGTTTCAAATGGAAGTGGTTGACAAGCGACCCTTTACTACCCGCCCTTCGTTATTCCACGTCCATTCGCGTATAATTAACAACTGTTTTACTGGCTGTTAAAGCTTCTTTAACGACGCGTCGTATTTTACGAACGACGTCCGCTTGTAAATACTTACATGGTGGCTCGTTCCCAAGCAGAAACGATCAGACTGTTCACCGCCAAATCGATCGGTATGATTTCTGCTCGCAACTGAGACTTGCCAAGGGCGAAACCCGCTCCTACAATCAGGGCAGTCGGTCCTGTAAGTACATCAACGAAACCGGGCATAGGCTCGCGATAAGCTGGACCGATCAAAGGAAGCCTCAAGAAAGCCACAGGTACATTCGCTACGTCCTCCTCTCTCGACCCTTCGCTCGTTCTACCCTCTTGGTGAAAAACGCTCGAGACGATCGCTGCCACTTCCAAACGCGGCAACTTTTGGCAAAACTCGAACAGCTTTTGGCACGGTCCACCCGCGTGCAACACCACGCTGACGTTTTGCAAAAGCTTCCTGTCTTCCTTCATCGTGCCCAGTCCATCGTACACTAGATTACCCTCGAACGCTTTTACGCGAGAAATCGCATCAGGCAACTCCTGCCTAACCCTCTCGAACCTATAACAAACAACGGTAGATTCGATCAATTGGAGTTTGGCCAAACTTGATTCGAAATCCGATTCGATAATGCTGATAATTATGAGTTCTGCGGTTTCCGTTCGAATCTATGGAAGATACGTTAATATCTAACTATTCCGTAATTATTTATTCCTAGAACGCGTAGTTCCTTTCAATTTACGGGTCGCGATCGATCGTCTGCAATTTCTGTTTGTAATAACAGCAGTTAAGGGCGTTCCAGACAGTCCTTCTCCACGCCTCCAACTACCAAGACTATTATTGCACGATTGTGTACACCATAACCACCCTGCTATTCTATCGATGGTTTGTCGTCCACGGCTAGCAACTTCCATGCAAGTAACTCGAGCCTGTATTCTGTAAGGATAAGATTGTCGAGCAAGATTCCGCGTCATCGAGCTTTAGCGTTATTCTTTTATACGTCCACTTCTATTAAATCGACGCTTCTCTATAAATTTTTATCGATGCGCGTAAAATTTTTACTCCAACTCTTACAACGTCTGAGTTCCACTTAATTCTTTTATGGTAGAATGAAATAGATCGAGTTATTGTATCACTTTCGTATTGCAAATTGCCTTCATCCGGGTCGCAAACGTATTAAAAATGTGTATTTTATTTTTCTCAGAAATTTAACTCAGCTCTCCGCTTCGAAAATAAATTTCTTCACTGCTGAGAATAACCACCCCCCGGCGACGGTGCTTCAGCTCGCGTGTCTTACGATGCAACCAAGATAGTTACGGTTCACGATTTATATATCCGCAATTCAATTTATACCTCGAGAATGTTGTACACCTAGGGAGCGACAGATTTTTTTTATGTCGAAACACGTTTAAAGTTTCAATTTGAAAATTTATTATTCCCCTCCTTTTTCAACTCCAGGTGAATCGTTCGCATTCACTCGGGAACGAAACACTTCAATCGCGTTACGTGTTCGGCGTTACAGCAACGTTTGTTACCAGGCATGTCGTTCGTTTCGCCGTTTTCCATTTAATTGTCTTCAATTATCGTTTCACCCTGTCGACGGTGGTAAATCGCCGGCCGCGATAAAGCCGTTTAAAGTCATGAGCACATATTATCAACCCTGAATAGAAGACAAACAAGCTTTCCGTTTCTATTTCACTAGCCAGACGTACCCCGATTATCTCTAAGATAATTTGCTTAAAAGGAAACGGTTAATTATTTGGCCGTGTGTCGTGCACGGAATTGTTCTTCGACCCTTTATTTACGTCTCCCGGAAGAAATATGTTTCGAACGAAGGAAATAATTATTCTTTGTTCCAGCATAAAAAATTTGATAAACCGTTTTCGTTTCAGTGTTCTCGTTCTTATTTGAGGTAGGATATAACGTTGTAATGAAACGACTAAACAAATTAACGCGGTTCTTCGTGGCATCCGTTGAATTTCTAATGAAAAGGTAATTCGCAGCCGCCGCTCTGTCTAATGAAGCCTTGATTAGAATGGAACGCTGCAATATCTAACGAATGGCTGATTAAAGTCAGACGTAATATCTAACGAATAGTATGAGACTTAATATGAAACCCTGCGAATAATTACAGTGCAACGATGTTCCGTGTAGCAATCATACGCGACAGCGTGCGGGATAATCAATAGCTTTGTTAGAAAAAAAAAACATTCTTCGAAAAGTAACATTTAGCAATTAATATTTCACGTAATTAAAGCGGGTTATAAGTAGAAACGTTCAAATATTCGTCAGTTTCCTTTGCAAGAACGGTGTTTTATTTCCCAATTAAGGTCTAATAACCGAATCAAGGCGGAATAATTGCAATAAAAATGGAGCAATTAGCATGCACGGCAACCGCGTGTTTTCCTTCCGGCCAGTGTTAAACGCAACTGTTTGCATAAATTAATCGAACAAACACAAACACACACGGTTTCGTTACCCAGCTGTTTGCCAATCGAAATTTCATTATTACCGATACTATGCGCTCGATAAACAGGTCTTCCTACAACTCCAGGAACCTTTGTTTGTATTATTTCACCACAAACCAATTATCCAATAGTTCGTGCATGCTTCCTTGTTCCCAGCTACGCGTAGACAGTTATAGAAACTGGATGGTAAAATAACTTTGGATTATTTTCAAATTCTCCTACCGAGGCGATAGAAAGATATTCCTGATTCTGTCCTCTTTATCCAAGCCGTTCCGTGATCTGAGCACCGTGTACACCTTCGCGTTCGGAAACGAACGAAGAATCTTTTCGAGGAGAGCTCGTCCGAAATCACTGGTCACTCCGGTTAGGAGCAGCTCGCGATCCGCGTACCACTCGCTTAGAGCCATGCTCTTTGACTGACCGATGGGAAAAGAAAGCAACTCCATTGCTTCTCGCTGCAACCCACTTACCGTCCTTTTACTACCGCCTTGCGTTTCATCGACGAATTCGCGGTGAGGCAATCGAATATTTTTACCATCGATTGCTGATCAAATTTCGGAGAGATTTGCAAGATGGAATATCGAATATCCGTTATTCGCCGCAATTTAATTCAATTCTAAACCCGAGATGTACATCCCTTAGGTTTCCCCTTTAATGTGCCGCGTCTCAACCCTTGTTGCAGTCCCTTCGACAACGACAAACGAGGAACGGACGGTCCTTGATCATGCACAGACGCTTCACAAACGTCTGGGACATCTCCATGTAAATGAGAGTACCGGGTGTACGGTTACCAAGATTGGCAACCAACGCAACGGCTGGATGCACCCTTTCCACGATTTTCAACGTTTCCGCGTTTATGCCACTCGCAAACGTGTACTAATATGTACATATATAACAACGAATTCGCCGGAATAACGTTATCTCCTTAAATTGCGGTCGTTTCTGTTTTCGTTTCGTTTCGCGTGGAAGTTCGGTTTATTAGAGGCTGCCGGGAAACGGAACCGTTTGGATAACAGGTTGCATCGGATAATGGAAGCTTCGCAAGCTCTGCGCATTACAAACAATTTATCCTTTCAACCGTAAACACCGATATCTGGGATTCGAATTTCGACACTGACCATCTTTTGCTCCGTTTTCTCTAAAATAGCACGCGCGAAGAAGCGAGAGAGTGAAGCGAACGGAATTTTACCGTGAATCTTGAGTTAACGGGTTAAACACTTTCACATTTCAACCTTCGTTTGAGAGATCCTTCGAAAGCAGAACTGGTGAGAGGAAAACAGAGAGACAGAGTGTATAAAAAAATAAAGGTGAAGAGGATTCTGTTGTATTGTCGAAACATCGATACTTTCACGTTGCTCCGGTTTTCACTCTACTTTCTGCTCGATGTCCGATTTCTCCATAACATTCCCCCCCCCCAGCTACTCTTCTTTATTTCCATCCATGAATATGTACACGATTTTTCTGCCTACGGACATGTCAGTTATGCTGTTTGTGAATACAGAATTGTGCCAATTTGGAAGAAACCGCGTAGTTGCGAGCACGAAAGAGGTGGATCGCCGCTTTTGACGGACGTTCGTTATCAGGAAACGTCGATATCCATCTACCTATCGATCACCTGTTTACTCGTGTCGCAAGCGAGTTTCGCTCTATCAATCGTTTTTTCCGACATCCCTCTTAATGCTCTCGAATTTTCCTTTCCAACATCCGATGGTCGGTTTGATGCGAAAATTTTGACAACATATTCGAGTCGCCCAGGGGGAATTCACTTTGAACGTGCGTATCTTTTGATGAAAATCAGACAAGGTAACGTCGCATTGTGCGTTCATTAGCTATGCATTGTCTAAATGGCGTATGAAATTATCAGGGGCATTCGCTGTGAAACGTCCTCATTCGCCACCATAAAGGAACAATACACTAAATTCAGTCTTGTCCAGCTGTTTGCTGCAACTGACAAGCAGCCATTTTCAGGAAACCTTAAGCTTTAAATTTCACGTGTTCACAGTTTTACTTTTGAAATTATTTGGAAGATTATTCGAAGCAACGATATCTCGTACGAATTGCTAGTAGAATGATATTCGTTACCGAATCGGTGTCTCGCCCATAGAATCCGTATCTCAATTACCGTAAGCGCTTTCAGAATTTGCAATTCCAATGGTGGACCAGAATCGATATCGATTGCTACTTAATAGAACGTCGCTGCGCGAATTTAGAGAGAATTTATCAAATAAAATTAGGAAATCTTTGTCGAAATGAACGATAGACTCTTATTTCAAGCAACTCGAGACATCGCGAAAATATTGTTTGATATCTAATATTTTCCAAAAACACGAAATCACAGGAAATTATTAAAACGAACGTAACAATTTCATAGTTTATTTTCATTCACTTTTGGACAGAGAAGCATTATTTGTGCTCAGTTGTACAACGATTGCATAATGTATATATTTCGATAACCGTGTTACATAGATATAACAACGCGGAAGTACAATAACAGGAAAAACGATCGACATTTCTGTGGACACGGTTCGTCGGCAAGCAGACCCGTGGGAAATAATTATGTTATTCGATAGAACGAGGACCGAGTTAATTACCGTAAATTAATAACCGTTTCATTGCGACTGAAAATTATCGCGCGATCGATGCAACGGAGAAAATATCGTAAACGAACGAAATAGAGCGCGGTGGAAAACCGATACAGTTCAACAAACTGTACGAGTGGATATTTTTTAATTACAATATGTTTTCGTCATCGAGTTATAAATTTTCCTGCCAGTGTATCGATTCAAGCTGTAAGATAAATTGAAACTAAATTGCATTCGTTGCATAGTCAATTTGTTAGTAAATTAACAGGCAAATATTTCTTCCATAAAGGAAATTGACGAAGAGATGCAACAATAAAAAATAATTATATTTTCATCGAAACTCTATGATAGCGTTTCTAAAGATCAAAAACAAATTAGTGAAAATTGAAGTGTGCGATAAATATCTGCTCCGTAAAGAGAAAGTTAATTGGAAAGTGGAACTTTGAGAATAAAACATATAACCGTAATTAAACAAACGCGTTACAAAAAGCGATGCATAACAAACAGCAACAATGTTGCAACGTACAACAAGGTAAATTGCAAGCTGAATTAGAATTTCAAATAGAGTCAAGTGTACATGTTTAGTAAGAAAACATTTGTAAATTATTAACCTGAACCTTGTCACCTGTTCGTTGAACAAACTTGCAACAAAACGTCGTGGAAACGCATCGCATTTCCAATTTAACCGACGCGATCCATTTTTCTTGGTGCATTCGATTACGTAATCGCTTATGGGTCGAATCGAAAGTGCAATCGTTGCAGGTAATTGCAGCAAACTGATTTCTACTGTCCAGCAAGGTGATTCAAACTCGATGTATGTCGAAATTGCATTTGACAAGAAAAGTGTGCTTTTATTTTTGCAATTTTGAAGTTAATCATATTTTTAATTAGATTTTATTTAAAGACACGAATCGAGGAAGTAATCAAAGTTTTTTAACGACGCGAAAACAACCTTACGTTTACGTGATTAAAGTTAAGTAAAAAAGTATTTTGGAGGCTCGGAAAATATAATTTACTTTGATTGAATCTTTTTTTACGCAAGCAGATCTTCGCGGAACGCAAGGGAACAAATTGTTAATGAGTTTAAGAATTTCCTCGGAAATAAACTTGGCTGCGGCCGATGGTAGATGCACGTTACTGTTTTTTCGAGAAGATTACTGGGATAGTTCGGAAACTTCTTTACTGCCAGGTTTAAGAAGATTACTGGTTCAAGAAGAAATTAATTAATTACCGGAATCGCGTGAAGATCAAACCGAGAATTCGAGGGAATAAGAAAAGATGAGCTACTATGTATAACAGTTGAAAACCGGTTGACATATTTCAATTTCGACAAACTTGTTTTGTCTGAGATGGCGATAAAAAATCGTAATGGTACTTGAATATTTTATCGCTACTAAATTACGTGGGAAAACTTGTTTTTAATGAATCGTATATCAGTTGAGTACTATAAACTTGTTTACTCCGTTGTACCACTTGACGAACGATTTGACGATTAAATCGCCGTGTAAATCACCAATGAATGGCCGATTTTCCAACCCATTAATGGCCGTTTAAAACGTTTTTCTAATGTAGATCGCCCGTACGAGTTCCCCTTCGATAGACAAGATTTATACCGTCGATTTTGCGCATCGAACTTCCATCGAGTTCCGTCGTTCTTACTTTATTTCTGTTACTTACCGTTTTAAGCTTGGAAAAGCCGTTTACCATTCAAACAAGGGAAACTTCATAGGAAGAGAAGTATATTTTATTACCGCAAGATAGGAAAGCGATTTATTGAAATATCGATGGAGAAAACTGGCATTCAGCTTGGATTCCTCTGAAACTGAACGCGTTAAAGGTTTCTATTTACTCTTCCGGCATTCCTATCCACGCCTATTATGCTAAATACCACGAGAAGGCATCGAATTTCCCTTCACTAAGCAAATAACCGTCCACGGAAGGTATTCGTGGTAAGATTAAAATTTGAATCGTTACCGAAACAAATTTCAATAGTGCACTCCATTCCCCGAGACATTTGCCCTTTTCTAATTAATAATGATTCAATTTGCGAGAAAAACAAAACAGAATACATTATTATTATTCTGTCGCTAAAAAATACATCAACATTACAAGGAAAAGAATGGAATAATTGATTCTTAGGGAATTGTCACTCGATCTAGTGATGGCTTTGACCACCATCTCGAGGATATTATTCGTTTCGGTGACGTTCGTCTCATTCTTCTCTCCAGCCAACAATTCGTGGATGGTGGAGCTGAAAACGCATTCTCTTCTTCCTGGATCGTAAACATAACCGATTTTGCAGATGCACTGGTAACCACCTGGCATATTCATGCACGCCTCTCCGTCGTTTATGGAGCAACTGTGCTCTCCTCTGGTGCACTCGTTCACGTCCACGCAGAGACCGAATCTCGAGGACCATTCGTAGCCAGATTCCATGCACTCGCAGCTGATGTTTATCTGGTTGCCTATCAAGCTGAAGAAATCCTGATTTTCTTGCCTGTTCAACGTGCACGTTCTGTGCTCTAGACGAAAGAAGGCAAACTAAATTGATCAGGACATATCAGATCAGAATTTTTTGCGCGAAAGCACACGTTACGTAAACGATATTAACAAGAGTGAAGGTAGAATAATAGGTGGTCAGAAAACGAAGGAAAAGTTAAGAGAAAACAAATTTCGCAAGCGAGAGACGCTAAATTGGCACGTAAGGTCATCGACCCGTTCACTTTCGTGTTCCAGTCTTAACTTAGGTCAGCGAATCGTTGGCTAATATACTTAGTCGATAAACATTTCAACGCGAACGTTAAACACCGCGATAACGTCTTGCACGGCAGAGGAACGATGTTAATAACCGGCATGAAATTATCCAGGGCGTCGAGTTTCGAAATTCTAAGCAATCCTCTTACTGCAAACCGACGTAAGGTGATTTCTACGCACCCGGTGGGTTTGCGGCGTAACAAGGATTCACTGGCGACTGATAGCAATCCGTCATGTCACGGATGTGCCTGATAGGACAACAGTGATCCGGACAGAAACTATAAAGGGCACAGGCATACGGCTGCGTGTCATCGGCTCGCGGATCACCGTTTCCGCCTTCGTGTTCCATCTGACAATTGGCATAGTTGTCGCAGGATTCGCCGAAGATGCTCAGCTCTGGAACGCCGAGCATCGTGTACCAGCACATGTAGTAGCTCACCGTGCTGCGCCACTGAAATCGTTCTAAATCCAAATTCTGTCAATTCGCGATATCACACGTCTAATTACGAATGGAAGAATGAATGTCCAAAAAAGAAAATACACTTAAGGCTGGTTGACAGATAAAAAATGTCAACTATAGAGAAACTTTCCTCGGGCTATATACAGGGGGTGATTAAAATTTTCGATAATCTATTTTCGAAAAAAATAAGTAAACCTCCATTCTTGTTCGTAATCGTTGTGAAATTAATTTTTTTCGAAAATAAAGCGTCATATGAAAAAATGTTATTCTACATTTTCGATTCAATTTTTCACGTTGAATCACCCCCTAGTCGCTTGTACCACCAGTTACGGGACACCCTGTATATTATTAGCTTGTCTTTTTGATTGGAAAGATCCCGAGGGAAGCATCGGTACTTGCCAATTGGACCTTGGAAGGGAAGCGCGGTTAGTTCGTCACGCCTCTGTGCCGTCTGACAGTCCCTTTGAACTGCCTGGATCTGCTTGGTATTGTTCTCAACCTTCCACTTCTGTTCTTTCATTATTGTCACAGTGTCGTCTTCTCGCTTCAGGGGAGTATCCTTAATCACACCTTCCAGATACTTTAGACACTCGACGAAGCTCGCGTCACAGTATCTAGATGTGATTCAGATAGAATTACATTTCATTTTCTTCTGCTGATCAGGGAAATATAATTGATAGTCTGATACTTGCGCACTTCCCAGTGCAAGGACCTCAATGGAGGCTTCGGGAACTCTTCGTAGAGTCTGCCCCGAGAGTCCTCCGGTCTCCTGTAGTATCTACGATCGTAGTCTTGAAATTTATGCGCCCGAATGTAATAGGCGACGTCTCGAATGACCTTATTCTTATCCCATTCGGCGTCCCAATCTTCGCTCGGTTCGTCCACGTCAGGCACGTCGGTCATCCTCACATCAGGATCTATAACCTGTTCCGTCATTGGCACAGCCTCGATTTCCCCTTCTTCCTTCGTCGCTGTTCTACTTTCGCTGATCGGTGTAGTTGTTTCCAATTCTTGAATTGGAAATGTCATTTGCTCCATCGAACAAAGTTCAGGTAAAACGCAAAAACATAGAGACGCGTATAATATCGATTTCATTATTCGTTTAAAACGTCTCTGTTTTACGTTGATTCTTCGTTGTTTCTGCTACGACGTTCATGGTAAACGCTGATTTATAATGAAAAATGACAATTTTTGTGTATAACAGGTGGAGAGTCGATGAAAGCATAGAGTGGTGCATAATCGAACAGGCTTCTTGAATATACCTTGTCACAATAGAGTGAATTAGTCGAAGGGTAAAAGCTGGTTCAAAGCGGGCTTGCTGGCAAAGCCAGCCGATAAGTAAGGGGAGAAAGCCGCGAGGAATAAAGCCAGACGCAAAGAGCAACCGGACAAAAAGCCTGAAAGCAGGAGAACTTTAATTGCTTTCGAATATCGACGAGTGTCGCGACGAACAACCTTCTCCTCCGTCTTCTCTGATTTGCGAGTCAATCGTGAAACGTGAAAGGCAGCAAGAGAACGCTCGTAATTATTTATTCGAACAGGTAGAAACAAAAAACGCATTCGCATACTTGGCCGACTGATATTTCTACGTTAAAGAGAAAAATAGAATATCGATTTGCCTGGCGATACCTTCCTAAAAAAAATTACATCCAGACTGGCGGATACGTGGTTCGCGCGTCGTCGAGACGATTCCAGGCGGAAATTTCCAAACGCGCCTCAACTCTAATCCGTTTTAAAAGATCTGCACGCCGATGTACCGAGCATTGACTTTCAAATCGACCGATCGAAATTCCGAGAGAGAGAAGGGTAGTTCCTTCGGTAAACACGTTCCTCACCTTTTCTCCAGGCTATTTCGAAACTTTTTAAATATCCCAACTGGCGAATGCATGAACGATCGCGAGTACGTGGAAACGGAAATGGGAAATAGACGACTTAAAAATTAAATTGTACTTGGTTGAACGTTTAACGATCGCCTCCGGTATAATTATGTTTGAAAGACGGATCAAACGCTTTGACGACACTTCATTCCGCAAGTTTTATTCTTCCCTCAATATTTGTTACTGCTGGTGTTTACTCGCGAAGTCACGTTACCATTCGTATTTACATATTCTCTACACCAGTTACGGATCCAACGGGAACTTTTCAGTTCACTGAAAGCAACGGCACACGCGTATATTCACTCAGACGTGACGTACTTCTGATATTTATACGCGTATTCCCACGAGAGCGTAGATGCGATTATGCAATGTGTAGTACCAAGGTGGTTGCTCGTGCATAATACTCTTCTCTCAAATATCCTCGACTCTCGTGCATTGGTAATGTTCCTTCCTTTCCTTCTCTTTGTCTCTGCCGCAAGACGACGTTCTAAATCCTTTCACAAGTATTCAAGGTGTTTTGCAAGAATTCGCATACCACGAGATATCGTTAACAAACGACAGTTCGATGATTAAATTCGATATCTCGAGTTATTCGCCCGAAAAGGAATCTTTAAGATACGAAATCTGGCGAGTATCAGAGATGGCTGGCGGCTGTTGACGCGCAAACAACCCCGTAGCATCGAAGAATGAACTTTTTTCTTTTCCCCGACGATGGTTTATCGCATCACAGCTCGAAGGGAATGAAAGGTACAAAAGCTTTCAATAACTCGTGCCTGTTCTAGCGACTTTAGCCGCGCGTGTCATCTCCCAAATGGATTTCACCATTGTTGCCGGCAGCTGTACAGCACACGCTTTATTTCCTCCCTCTTGCGGACCCTATCAACCGAGCCCCACCAAGGTATTCTCTCGATCTTCGTGCACCCTTCTTCGGCCTCGTTGCAGCCCATTAATTTCGGAAAACAGTTCGCATAAGGACCAGCTCGAATATCATCCCCATTATTCGTAAGAAATATCTGGAACCTGAATGTTCTTTTTCGGTTCTTCAGTTTTGTCTTCCAGCAATACTCGGAGGATTACGTTGTTCTTGATTCCACGATCGCGTTTGCATTTTCGAAATTGGAATTCTTACATACAGGTTGCTGCAACTCAAAATTTTCCAAAGAGAAGAACATACATTGGCGCGAGTTTTTAAATGGATTTCTGTTCTTTCGAAACGGCAGCTTCCGGCGGAATTCTTAAGCTTGCATTCGACGAAAATGCTGCACTCTCCATTATGGTTCATCGTTTCGTGGGACGAGTTGGATCAAAGGTGCGCGGATGCTTCCAATCGTCAAATGGATTTCGCTATCGCGGCGACCGTTCATACGTTTCCTCTTCTTTCCCTTTCTTTCTTTCTTTTTTTTTTTTTTCTATCCCCGTCAAATACTCGAGAAACCGTGTCAGCTGTGCCTCGCTTCCCTTCTCGATTGTGTTCGACGGTCGTTGACTCGATTCTACCGCTGTGTACCGACTCGCGTTACGCCCATTTCCGAGGGACATTTTTTAAAAAGTACTCCTCGCGTTCTCGTGGACTCGAAATTCTTTTGGCATCGGAATCTTCTTTGGACGGTGCAATAAAAATCGAAATCTCCGCGTTAGCGCGACGCTTTTCAGAAAATGCGAGTTGCAGAATGTTCCCTGTGATCCGGTGAAAAATTGAAGAAAATTGGAGAGCACGTTCGAAATGGAAGCATCTACTTCGGCTTAACAAGGAGGGAAACGTTTCGTGGCAGGATTTCAGAAACGGATGAAAAATATCAAAGTTTCGGATCGGAAGAGCGAGAGTAGAGAGTCGGTCATCTGGTCGAGGCTCGTTCAACAGGACAGAGCCGGTCGTTTCTTGCGGGGACGTATTTCGTTCTTTTCGCAGATTGGCGAGAATGTTGACCCAGTTTCACGGCTTCGGATGGGATCGGACGTTACTCGCTCTTCCGAAACTGCTGACTAGAATACGCGATGAGCAGGCGAAGTTAGGATGGTTGTTACCCCGTCTTTCTCCCAGAGGGAACGCCATCGACTTCCCGAAATTCATGCTGCAAATACAATTCTACTGTCTGAAAATCCTTCGCCAGGAAAGCTTCGTTTTTTATCGTCTTCCGATGAACGAGAACCCGTCGAGAGTGAACCTGTTGGCGATGGAGCAATCTATAACACCGTAAAGTAACATAAAAATGCTTTTTATAAATTCTTAAAAATCCCATATTTTGATGAAATTTCGTAATTACCCGCGGTTCGTTAGCTGGAATTACATAATAATAGAACGGAGAAAAATGAAATTCGAGGGAAGGGCCTTTGAATAGATGCGTTATTAACTTGCTCGTATCGTTCGCTGAAATTAACCCGTCTTTCCCTTAACAAGTTAAGAATTAATCGCAAAGTCGATTTACCGGGAATAAGATCTTTCGGGTTTCTCGGTCGCGTTCGTTCGGCTAACTTTCACGATAAATCACGCCGCTCTGGAAAACCTTCGCGGTCTCGGTTAAGACGCTTTCGAAAGTTTCCCGATCTTCCGTTGACGATTATAAGACACGATATCGAACGGTCTGAGAGAGCGGACCGCGGCTTCTAATGGAAATCACGTAGAACAGCTTTCGCGCAAGCAAATCCCCCACGAGTTCGACTAAATCGCATGGGATATCCGGGTAAGATGAAAAATCGGCTGCCTGATATCGCTCGCGTTCAACGCAAATCAAATCAAATACGTTCCTTGTGCTTCCCTGTGTCTGTTTAAATTTCAAATATCCTTCAATCCATTTAACTTTAGCGACAACCTCCGAGCAGAGGTTCTGCAAACGAAAGAAATAATTTCTGAATTTCTAAAGAAACTCAGGCTTTAGTAAATTTACGTAAGCAGAGGAAAGTGAAACGCAACGTGACGTAACTAATAACCATGGGACAATTTAATGGTTCTTTTATTTATTTACTTTGCATATTTCATTCGAAACGTGATCACAACGAGAATTTTAACGATGCCATTACGGTTTAATTATTAATGACCATTTATACAGCAGTTGAAATGATTTCTTCGCTTCTTACGAGGAGAACATGATGAATAACGCGTTAATGTTACTTTACGACTCGGTGGTAAGGCATTATAGCGTTGGAAGCAGCAGAGCTGTGCATTACATATTGCACCCATAAAAGTCAAACGACTTTCTTACGATACGCTGGGCCAATTTATTTTTCTATCATTCTGATTCACTTTATGGCGCTTTTTCATTCACCAGCCGGCTCGAGCGGTGTAAAATATATCCTCGTTTCTTAGCCCTGAATTCTCGGATGAATACTGTATCAGGAGTTAAGAATTTTCCTCGAACGTTTTTCATATCAATTTTCCTGCCGTAAAACTAAAAATCATCTTTCACAGAGCGTACAGGTTTTAAAACGAAATCTTGTAAAAAATGAAACGAAACGAAACAAAAATCACAGTTAAAACATTCGGCAGATTTTTTAAAAAAATATCCGATAAACCGATAACGCTGATGTTAAAAAAGATAAGCCTTTGTTATATAAATTGTGTAACGATAGAAAAATCGATGGACGCTATAATGTTGCGCAAGGGTCCGGGGAGTAACTTTGAAGAACGCAACGAGTATCGAAACTCTTCTGTAAGGATGCAGCTTAAGCCTCCCAAAGCAGTCTCGAGCAGCGTTAATTGCAGCCGACCAACCGTGAAAGTCTCAAAGCTGCCGTTTATTAAAATTATTAAGTCTTCCAAGTTTTGCGAGCATCCGAGAAACGTAACAACTTCCGAAGCCTTTGTAAAGAAGAATCGCCGGGAAAGTTTCAATCGGATGGGAGCAGCGTTCGGTCTCAATGGAACAGTTTTGCAGAGGCAGAAGACCGTGGCCGGTTTATTCATGACAAATTGACGCTTAATGATAATTGAGGTTCACGTGAGAGCCTAAAGGAAAAAAAGAGAAGGCGATATATAAAATACAGAGCTTTTCAGAAATTCTTTATTTCATTTTTTAGGTACAGTAAATTCTCTATAAGTCGTCATTTCAAAATTTACATGGTTTTTACTCCGCTTAAGTCGTCAAAATTTCTCGGTCCCTCGAATGACGACTTACCGAGGTTTTACTGTATTTGGAAAATCGTGGAGAAATCGTTAATCGGGTCAGGATGCGCTAGCCGGTCATCCTAACTATCCGAGAGGATGGCGCGTGCTAGCAAAGGCTAGATACAATATAACGTGAGATCCTGAAGCTGTGGAAGTGTAGTCGTCGGACAGGCATGACTTCTATGGGATGTCGCGCGTCCCTGTACTATTTTGTCGGGTATTAATGGAAGCCAGCTTGATAAATGAGCTGGTCGTGGGAGGCACGCGAAAAGATAGGGGAGACTCTGTACTCCCTTCGCTTCGTCCCGTTCCACGACTACTGCCTGCGGGCTTTAAAGAGAAAAGCCCCGTCTGCCCGCTGCCTCTTCATCTCCCTTCGCCCATCTCTACCGGGTGTTTGATAAATCACGGATATCCCCGGCTCGACCCGAATTTCGCCTTCGCCGGAATATGACTCGGTTCCGTTTCTGCCTCCTCGCAACTTATAGCCCCGATTCCGGTGAATTTTTCATCCGCCCGTTCGCGTCACAATCCAATTACGTCGAT